TTACCAAGGAATTAATTCTGTAGCTCAATTTAAATCTAACTCAACTTGGAGCAAATAAGCACAGAAGGATAACAAAGAAACTTTATGTTGAAAGAGAAAAAAACATACACCAAGTGCATATGTACAAAAATTCCTTGTTACTCTGCAGCTTTATTGTTTTTCAGAATCAAGCCATGTTTATATGAAGTAATTGCAGAATTACAGATTTGTTTTTACTCTTGTTTGACACAAGGAGACTTTCTGCACTAACTTTAATAACAGACACTGTAGATCTACTGCAAGTACAATAAAGTCAGGGTGAAAGTTTGGGGATTATGCCTTCAGGCAATGCTCTACCATCTTCTACAGGACAGGAACCTCTACCAGGCAGCTTCCACCTAACTATTGTGGGGACTCAAATACAGACACTGATTTTAACATATCACTTCTAAATGAAAAATTTAATAAACATGTTATTCAATATGAAACAGGGGCATTTTGATGTATGCTTATAATGAACACAGAAGAACCCTAGACATGATTTTTCTTTTGGTTTACATAATGTTTTTTGATATTGTCTTAATTTTTTGAATTAACAAAATAAGTATTTTTAATTTAAGAAAAGCTACTAACTAATCTTCTGAGTTCACCCAGAGTGCTTTCATACTGATAAAGTCTCAGGTAAAGCAATAAATTAGCTTCTCTGTAGTAATTTCTTTATCCTCTCCCTTTCAGCCTCACTGTACTTCATTTCCAGCATTTTATATTCACAGGTGCTAAAGCTTAGGACATTGAGCCCCAAACACAAACAGATTGAAGCCGGGCAGCAAAAGAGATTACCACTCTGAGGCATCTGTCCATTTCAGCTTGCACAGAGGTGGCAGCAACCGTGACAGGAAGCTGAGTCATGCATAAAGGCAATCCAGTGTACAGATGAAAATAGTAATATAGATCAGCACAGGTTCTGAGCTGCACAGTGGCAGCCTGCAAGCTGCACGGACTACCTGCTTCATATGCAACACAGCTATGCCTGCCACCAGCACAGCATCAGGCAGGCAACAAACAGACAGGGGGAACAGCTGGAAGTGTTACGCTTGGTCCCATTTCATTCGGCCTGGGTTCACGAAACAACATATTCAGTCAAAAGCTGATATTGTTGTCAATGATGTCAAAGACAAAATTTCAAAAGAATTTAAATTATGCAAACTCAAGTTTTCAACTTAGTAAAGATGACAGCCAAAAAGAGCCTTAAAACACACTGCATTATGGCTAGCATGGTAAAGGGGTAGATCAATGAGCCTCATCCTCCAAAGAAACTGTCTGAGAAAATTATGATAATACTAAGGCAGCAGCAATATGAAGTCATAGTCTCTGCATCCTTACCAGGAGCTGCTTCCACAAGCAAATTCCTACCTAAGAACTGCCTAGTAGTTTATGCAGGAGAAGCAAAGGAGATGGCCCAGCTGAGAGTTAGTCTCAGCAAAGTACGTAAGATGTAACTCAGCCCACATTATAAATCATTTCCTTAGTGCACACATAAACTGTCTGCAGCTTCAAGGAACTGCTTTTCATCTCAGTATTAAAGAAATTACCTGTTCATGACATCAGCCAGAAAAAGGCATGCCTAAGTATATTGGCTACACAAAGGCTAAGGGAAGTGCAGATAAGACCAACAGTCTTGTAGGCAGTGACATATATATATGAAGCCTCATTTCCTAGGGAATTGCATCTCACGACTGTCAGATTTTTAAACCGAATAATGCCAAAGCTTCAGGCTTGTCTTAAACAGAGCATCAGAGACTCCAGAGAGAAGATAAATATGCATGTCTACCATGACAGGCTTCAAGTGAGATTAGCTCCTTATTGGACACTGCTAACTCCTACAGGAATACATTTGGATTAAAAGTGGGATTTTTCCAATTCCTGGACATTCAGTTCCTAACAGTCCCACAACCCTTCTGCCCAATGCTGACATTTCAATATTAATGGTTGAAATATATGCTGCATATTTTTCCTTTTTGCACATAAGCACATTCTCTCCTGCCCAGCTATGTTCACAGAATTTAGAGGAATGTTCTTTCTTTGAGAACTAATATCTGAAAATATACACATCTCTGTTTCATTTGTTTGCACTCAGCCCAAAATTTATGGGGTGCAGAACTAACAAAGCAACAGCAAGTAAAAAGCACCACATTTACACCCTTATACTCACATGGAAATACATGTGGGATGCAATTCTACATAAAACATATTTCTTTAAGAAATCAGGATTTTTTTAACAAATCTGCTCATCAGTACTTAAGGAACCCATCTGGCTGTCACTTTCGTTTCTGAAACAGAGCTGAGTAGTTTGCTTCGCCTACTTTAGCAGCATTGCCTCCGCGAAAGCCAGCTCAGGCTCCCCTACTGCTGCCACAGCGGGCAACTCGTCCGGCTGGGACCACGGCAGCGCAGGGGGTAACGGAACCGAGTAGAGGTCTTAAATACTGCGTTTAAAAACACAGTAAGACTGTTTCGTGTACATTGTACATACTGTATTATATATCTGGAAATAGACAAATCGGCTTTGTATCAGTTACAGCACATAAAATGTATAAATACCACCCGCGTCAAAGACTTTTGCCTCCAGCCTTTCAAGCACGGACAAACACCTGCAGAGTGTTTGACAAATCCCTCTGTCGAAGTCTCCATCCTCCCCCCCGAGAAGGGATTCCCACGGCCCACAGACCCATCGGGCTGTCTGCAGCCCCGTGCCCACTCCTCCCTTGCACCCCCAGCCCCTCCTCTCCGCCGGGCTGCCATGTCCCTGCCTGCCCGCCCCTCCCGGGGAGGTTTCTAAACTCCGCGGCTCGCCCAGAGCCCGCCGCCCGCTGGGGCTGGGGCCGCCGCTCCGCTCCGCACCGCCCCGCGCCGCCGCCCTCCAGCGGGGACCGGCCCGCCGCCCCCGCCCGCCCCCGCGCTCGGCGGAGCCGCGGCCCGACCCCGCCGCCCTCCTGAATATTTCATCGGCGCTGCCCAACGGGATGCCCCGCCACTGACTGCTGCAAAGGGACCGCATCCCGCCGGCAGCGCGTCTCGTTGCTTCCTGTCTCTTTCATTCTTCAAACCGCAGCTTTTCATTTATTCCGATAAATAAATAACTGATTAAAAACAAAGGAAAGAAAAAAGCAGCAAGAGCATATCTCTTTTGTATCTGAGCAGGCAGGACTCCTGTGCAGATTACGGAACACAACACAAGAAGGGCTCTGAACTCTTCCGAGTCCAAAGGATGAGCCGGCAGCAGTTTTCCTATAAAAATCCGATCCCGGGGCTGTGACACACTCGGAGGAGCGAAGGCGCCGTCAGCCTCACCGGAGGCGTCTCCGCTTTGGACGCCGCAAACCCTCGCTGGCGGAGGGGGAAGCAGAGCGACTCGCCGGCCAGCCCGCGCTCCCGGCGCGCAGCCTCCCGCCGCTCTCCGCGGTGGCCGCGGCCGGCCGGGCGGCGCTGGGGGTCCGGCTGCCGCCGTCGCACCGCAGCCCCCGCCGCGCCCGGCACCGCTCCGCCGCAAACTTTTCTGCCCGCGCCCTCCTCGCCGCCGGCCGGCCGCCGCAAGGGAGCGGCGGGGGCGGTCGGCGCATCGTCTCCTTGCTCCCCTCGCGCTCCGGCGCCGGGCGGCGGCCACAGCCCCAGCCGCACCGCCGCCGCGGAGGCAGGCGGCGGCCCCGGGCAGCCCGAGCGTCCGTATGGCCGCTGCCCTTCAGCCGGCGGCGAGAGCTGCCGGCGCCGCCGCGGCGCTCCGGGGGCTGCTCTGAGCCGGCGGCTCGCCCTGCGGGATGTGGCCGGCCGGGGCGGGCGGCAGGGTGCCCTGCCCGCGGGACGCGGCGCTGCGGCGGGCGGCGTTCTCCGGCAACCTCTCTGCGCTGCCGTCCCACCTGGTGCCGAGCGGCAGGAGCGTCCGCGTCTTCATCAGCGCCAACCCCGAAGGTAACCGCGGCTGCCGCGCCCGCCCCGCAGCTCCCCCTGCCGCCCGCAGCGCCCGCGCCGCGCCCCGGCCCCGCTCCGCCGCCGCCGCTCCCGGGCACCCCTGCTCAAGCGGCCGGGACCGGCTCCGGGCCCCGCTCCGCCGCCGCCGCTCCCGGGCACCCCCGCTCCAGCGGCCGGGACCGGCTCCTGCCCCTCTCCGCTGCGGACGGCCGGGGCCCCTCCGTCCGTCCGGGCGCCGTGGGGCGCAGGGCGAGGCGGCAGCGGGGTTGTGGGGCGAGCTTTGCTGGGTGTGGGTGTACGAGCTCGGAGGTACCGGGGTGTGTCTCTCCTTAAGTTTTATGTTTGTAAATGACACCCCTGAAAGACACCGGGGCGCGGGGTATCCTCCCATTTTTGCGCTGTCGGAGCTGCAGGGCACACGGGATCTGGAGACAGGGAAACGGGCTGCGGGCTGCCTTCTAGCGAAGGGGAGGCTTTTCAGGGGGATGTTTGGAAAAGCTCTGCAGGGGGGTCTGGTTAATAAGAGTTTCCGGAAGATTCATAGCACAATGAAAGCAGGTCTTAGCCGGCTGAGGCTACAGCTAAGGTGAGCCTTTGATCCCGGCTGTACTCTGCTTCCAAGGAAGCATGCCTTGAAACCTGCAGTTTTAGCTTAATAAAGTCGGGGTCGTATACCCGGTATCTGAATTAATTAGGCATCCTGCTGTTTAAAGCCTATTTTTAAAATTACCCTTTGATTCGAGGAATTTGCATACATTCAGGAGGTGTCATTCCCACTTGTAAGATGGGAGTTGCTGAAGCATATTCCCACTTGAAGCACAGAAATAATAAATTAAGTGTTCACACTTATGACGTTACTTGTCTGTAAAAAAATGAGCCCACTGTATTCACAATTATCTTTCACACCACCACCCACCACCTTCCCTCCAACACTTCTAATTCAACAATACTGTCACCTTTTATGCAAACATCAGAGATCTGAAAATTGTGCCTGAAACAACAAAATGGTTTGAACTTTGAAGTGAAAATTATCTTGGCACAAATACTTACGGGAGTATGAGAAATAGTGCTCACAAGCAAAAAAATACGGGAGGTAGTGCTTGCTGCTTTGAAGAACTCCCACACCTCTAGCACTTCTTACTTGCTTTAAACACAAGGCAATTCTCTGGTCTCATATTCAACATCCCTGTTTGTTTAAACAGATGACCTTCTTTAAGGAGGGCATGAAAATGTTTGCAGTTTTTTGCTGCAATTCAAGCAAAGAGATATAAAAATAGTGATAATTTACCAAAAAAATTCTATTTGGCTCTGAAAGAAAATTACTGAGGATTTTTAGAAAAACTGAAACTCTGAAAGAAAATTACTGTGGATCATTAGAAATGGATTTCTGCCAGCATTGCCTTAACTGGGAAGCTGCTGATGCCTCTGCATTTGATGTGAATGACATTTAGGGTAGCTTGGTATGTTAGCTAGTTATTTGCTAAAATAGAAAGCCCACTAAACTCATTCTGAAAGTTGAGATTTAAAACCATATATAACCATTTCCAGGATTTTACCCTGGAATTGCAATTTGAAAATATCAGTTTTAAAAATATCCCAACACTGAATGAAAGCAATTCAAACATTTTAGGATTGTTTACATTATCTTTCTTGTAGCCTCACATGGCCACAATGATTAACACTCCTCATGCCAAGTATTTTATCTGTGACATTGCTACTGCTTTTAAAAATTACTTTAAAATTTAAAATTTAAATATTTCAGGGTGGCTACAGGTTTTCTTTATGAACATTTAAGGACTCTCAATGACAAGAAACAACCATTACTATTTATTGGTGGTAGCACTGTTGTTGATGTATGAGTTTTGAAAAAGGAAACATAGATAAACAAGAAATTAGCCTATAATGGGGTTTAGACATCATCTAGTAAAGTACTGTGAAATAGAACTGTTGTTGGTAAAACACTTGAAAAAGTTCACTGTGCAAAAATTCTAGATGAAAATGTTGAAGTATTCCTATTCAGTAAACCTTTAACACATTCAACTACAATTTATATTTCCCTTGTTAATTTTCAGCATATCACTACAGTTTATACTCATTTTTCTTGATGCAGAGCATTCCTGAAAAGGGCAGTGAGCCCCCAGACTCACAGAGATAGACTTGAACTGTGGTGTCAGAGAAGCATATGGATTAATCCTGCTAGCAGTCACAAGAAAAAATTATCTACCACTGAAAGTATATAAATCTAAAAGAAGTTTTTTTGAATTACATTTATTAAGTGTGTATGGGAGAACTCTGGTAATCAGTGTTTGGTCTGTTCTTTATAAACATACTTTTGTATGATTGAAATGAATTATGTTTTTATTAGGCAAGTAGGAAAGTGGTTATTTGAAAAATTTCTTAACTAGAAGTCCCTAAAAAGAACAACTGGAGTCAGTGAGCATGGGTAGTAGTAAGATTGCTTCATTTTGCAGCTTTGTTTTCTAGAGGAAATCTTGTAGATAAATAAAACTGTATTCTCCCTAGTAATCAGCAGCATTGTCTTGCTCAAGTTGTTGATATCAATTAATCCATCTTCATATCACTGAAAATGACCAGATCTTTAGAAACTAAAGTTTTTCTATTATTTGAATACAAATAAATCTGTTTTCACATTTCGGTAGATACAAGCAATCAGCAATATTTTGAGTATGCATTTAAATAGGCATTTTGGCTAAGAGAGGTTGAAGATCTTTATTGGTTTTGGTTTTATCAAGATATGTTCATTACTTCAAAGAGAATAAGAAAAGTAAGTCATTTTAGCCTGATTGTAATGAGTGCTTTACTGTTCCATTTAGCAATCTGTGCACTGTTAACAGCAAGTCAGTTAATGACAGTTTCTCTGCCACTCAGTAGTGCTTGTGTAGGTGCCTGCCATTAACATACAGTTAATGTGAAAAACAACAGGTATAAACTCCCATATGATGCCATTACATGAAACTGTGGTATCAGCCCTATATAGGTTCAGAACAGTCCAATGATTCTTGTCACTACTTCAAACAGAAAATCATTTGTGTTGCAAAGTTGGCTGTTTCAAGAAGTTACATGGTGGTGTAAGCAAGTATTATGAGCTCTCATTGAAACTGGTTCCTAAAATGGAGTTAGGAAATCATCTTGAGAATGAAGTCCAGTGAATTGAAACAAGCAGTCAAAACTCTGAACATTTTAAATCCTATTGGTTCTTCTGAAAGTGGAGAAATTCAGCCCTTTGTTAGTTTGACTTAAAGTCTTGTTATTTTATCAATTAGTTAAGACATGGATAATTTTTTTACTCTGAGCTCTTGGAGTTTTAGTTGTGAAGATGCCTTAGTAATCAGTAGAAACGAATGCACTGACAAAGGGATATGTATAAAGCCAAATCCTACACACAGGTGGTTCTACTGCAGACAGGATGATAATACCTTTATATAGAACCTGAGCGTGTTCTGGCACGGGTGGTGTTAGCCAGCCTGATCTCAAAGTGTAAACAGGGTTGCACCTAGCACTTCACATGGTAAGGATGATCCCTTTCCCAGCCACTCTTTCAGCTACATACTGCACTCTCCTTTGAGCAGAACCCTTGCATACTTCCTAAGTTCCAGCACTGGATTGCTGGACAGTTAATAGTTTTTTAGCCATTTTTAGCCTGTTAATATCCTTTGCTGAACAAACAGGTTTGATGAGATCATGAACATACTTTAACAGCCCTGTTTAATTCCTCATGATTTCTGTCTCCAGTACCCATTTTTTAAAACTATTAAACCAACTACTAGTTTTGACATGATTAACAACCTTAAGTATGAAGTCCTATGCATACATGCAGATATATAAAATTAAGATCTTATTCTATTAGAAGATACCACTGATATTACCACCACTTTAATGATTCCATGTACAAGCACAGTATAAAACCAACCTGTACAGCTGAAACTTCACCAGCTTCCCCATGAATTGCCAGAGTGAGTTTTCCTTGTCTTATGCTATTGAATGACTTTGAGTTTTCTTGATCTACTATTCAGTTTTTCACCTTAGTTCACGTCCATTGACATGCATCATCCAGAACATTGTATTAATTTGAAAAACACTCAGTTGTAGTGAAGTATAAATGTTCAATGCCAAATTTACTTATATTCTCGTGACATGTAAAGCAAAATTGCCACCAGCAGTTAGTTTTGTTAACTAGAGAATTAAATAATGACTGTAGAAACAGGTCTTAACCAGTGTTTTCATTTGGACTGTTGTTGTAGGCTACTTTGCAGGAATTACATGTGGTTTTATCTATGTTTATGTACATGTGAAAGAAAAAAAAAAAAAAGTCATGTGAATTTGTCGTTTAGAACATGATGGTAGATAAAATAGATGAAGAATTATGATTGCTTTATTTACAAAGTTATTACTATATGTGATGAGAGAAAGGCATAATTTGGCATTCTTAGCATGTTCAAGGCCTGTTATATTATTTTTACTGGAAATACTGTTTTCCTTAAGGAAAATCTAATTGAGGAAATATTAAAGTAGAAAGATATTCAAAGGCCAGAATAATGCTTAGTTAATGATGGTCCATTCTGACCGGTCCCAAAATAACATATGGTGTCCCTACTTGGATATGTTACATGAAGATCTTTTTAGAAAGACAATTTTATATAATCTGAGTGGAATTTATTCCTTAGCTAAAGAAAACCACAGATGTTCAAGTGTATGAAATTGCAAAGGAGGTGTTGCGGAGATGTGGAGACAAATAACTCCAGGACTTTTTTTGTGCTAAGTGCTAGTTCTGGTTACCTAATTTTGTACCTATTTATGGTTTTGTGTGAGGCACATCACTGTAGTATTTAAGAGTCAAAAACCAAGCTTGAGGGGGGCAAAAAACGGTGTTCAGTAGTTTTAAAGTATCTCAGAGTTTAGGGGAGAAAAATCATTAAAAGTACCCAGTTTTGGTGTAAACCTTGACTTGAAATATGTCTTATTTCAGGAGGTCCAGAGGTTAGAGATACCAGCAGTTTACTAAGTTGGAAAGCAACCTGCCATTTCCAGTACTTCTGCTGTATCACCAAGTCTTATGTAGGCTTTAACTTTTTTTGCAAGGCAGAACGAGCCAGTACAAGATGTTTTTTAGCCAAGTAGATCCTCAAGCCTTTGTTGCTGTTACTCTGTCACACAGATAAAATTGAAAAACTGTAATAATCTGACAATCTGTATGAAAAAAACCTGCTCTTCATGTCCTTTATGTGGGTTGTCTGCTTATGTAACCTGTGGACTTGGCTAAGGATTTCCTCTAAATGTACCAAATATGCAAATGGAAGCACTGCGAACTTTTGTTTAATTTTCCACAAAATTTTCATTCACGTGCCCAAAAGGTAGGATGTGCATTTGGCAACAGTACTATAATCAAGAGATGTTGGGTGGGGGTATTTTAGTAAAAGAGCAAGCTATATAATTTGTTGTTTTTGTGGCTTCTTCTTGTTATTTAGAAATAAGCAAAGTTACCTGAAACTCAGTCATCTTCCTGGTAGCAACACCTGGAGTTATTGGTTTCAAATGGATTGGGTATCTACTTAAAGTTTTTGACCACGTGTCCATTATTTTTAATATTAAAAATATTAAAATTGTAATTTTATGTATCTATAGTTGTCTGTACACATATATACATAAATTATGTAAAATACTCTAAACTGCATAGGATGGTATAAATGGATGCGTGACACTCAAGTCACACTGTCATAGACTATATTTGAACTTGTTGGTAGTGCTCAGTTCTCTTGTGAGAACTGAGTATGTTCCAAGGGTATCACTCAAGGTTGTATTTCTAGCAACACTGAAGAGTTGCCTAGATTCTGTTGGATGCTGTTGTAAAAGTGAAGGCTTTACATAGGAGTATCACTGCTTTTCATAGCGTTGAAGAAATAATATTAAAACAAAGCAGAACTTACCTACAATTTCTTTTTTTTCTTTCTAACTTGGCAAGTATTGCTTTATTTCTGCAGATGTATTTGCATGCTGGACTGTGCCTCATTCTTAGGGACAGTGGCTTTCTTTCAGTGATGAAAAGGAGCTTCTGGACTCTTGACAAAATTTCTAAGTACAGTGAGGGACAATGAAACAAGTGTGTAAATTTCATGTGATATTAATTTCTCAAATAATGTATTAGATGATGAACAGCAGTGGTGTTGACTTGGGTCTTTGTTGTGAATTGCTCCCTCAGAAAGGTATGAGACCTTTAAATGAGAGGCAGCACCAAGCAGGCAGTGTCCCAGAGTCTTCCCCAACCTAGAGAGGGAAGCTTCTTTTCTGCCTGCTCAAGGGCAGTGGGATGACCTCTCAGCTGAGCAGCACTCTGCTAGGTAGCAAGCTGGAGAGGATTTCCAGGGCTGTGTTTCAAGGAGGCCACGTGTATTCTGTAGTGGGATTTGTGTAATCACGTAAGAGCAGTGTAGTACAAAAGGTACATAACTGCATAACTTGGCATCCTATCTCTAAGCTTATGCAGGAAAATAATTCCTCTTAAGAAACTTGCATACAAGGACTGTGTGGGCATGTGTCCACAGATTTGTGAACACGCAAGAGAAAATCCTACATTAGGCTTTAAGTTTTGTTAGGACAATTTGAAAATATATATCACATAAAGAAAACTTCAAGGAGTTACTAAACTTCTAATTCAAGATTTGGGACAGTGCCCAAGTGGTAATCTTTTCTTCTAAAACAAATGAAATTTCTTTGAATTTAGTAGCTGAACAAGTATTTTGTGATGCAATATCATTTCAGGCTGCAGTAATACATTAGTAGTATCTACCTACAGTAATTTAAGGTTTTAATATATTGAAGGTGGTAGATATAAATAGAATATCATAAATAGTCATGTGCATGGATTACAAAGAAATCTTTCAGATTTTAATATAGGCAGCACTGTTCAAGAAAACTGCTTTAGCCCCTTCCTGGAATTTGAATTAAAGAAGGATAATAATAGATAGAATTAGAGAACACAATTTAGTAATGATTGTGTCAGTGCTCCTCTAAAATAAAGCCTAACACTACTCACTAATCTAGGGCTTGTATCAGAGAGAAGGTTTTACTTACCAAATCTGTAGTCAAAAGGGGAGTAGGGCTAAATCACAGGTAGATGAAAACAAGCAGTGTAGCAGAGTAAATATTAAGAAGACTCAAATCACTGCAGTGTGCTATGTGCATGGTGGTGTGCTGGGTAAGGAGAACATGTGCCAAATGCAACTTTTGTTAAGCCACCTCACCACCACCATAATTAAATGGCTCCATCTCTCTTTGACCTGGTCTTTAGCTCCCTCTGTCACCACCTGTTATTGCCCTGTGTTGGAGATGGGACACTGGGCTGGGAAGACCTCAGGCCTGAGCAGCTATAGCCATTCTTGTGCAGAATATGCATCTAGAGAAAAAAAGTCACCTTTAGAGACTAGATTTGTCAGAGTGTTCAAAATATACTTCCTGCCAGAAACTAGAAAGACTAGAAAATGTCAGGACTTCCACACTGAACTTAATCCAGAGTCATGCTGTTGTTTGTATCAATGATTGGGACCGATCACATAGATAAACAGGACAGATTTCAAACTGTCAGAGCCTGTCAAATACTCTTGTTCAGCCTGCTCCTAGCATTTCCTGGGGTGGCAGAGCTGCAGTCTTCAGTATAGTAACACTCCTCTGTGGTATGATTAAACCCTTGAAAATATTTATTAATAGAGCCCATTTCACCCTACTAGCACTTGAATACCTTCACAGTCTCATCTAGGCTTTATGAATCTCCAAACTGAAATAGGTGTTGAGATAGATAGTTATTATAGTATATGCCTGATACATAGCAATGTTATTTGTGACATTTTTATTTAGTCTCTAACTAGTAATGTTTTACAAAACATTAAGATGAAAGGAGAATTGATGACTTACGAGCCTTATCTGGACAGCTTTAGTTTCAGAGTTTAAGTTAAGTTTAAAATATTAGATTAAGATTACTTTTAAATGATTGAGAACCAATGAGTAACCATGTAGGTTAAATACTTTTAGATGAGAGGAGTTATCCCTACTTGCAGAGTTAAGCAAATCAGCTGTTACATACAAGATAAATGAGAAACAAATGCAGTAAGATCAGGCTTAGTGAGTTAGACCAGAGGAACCCAATACTCCTCTCTGACCCTGGCAATTTCAGATGTATGATGAAAGAATAATTATTCACGACAGGGACAAAATTATGAAGGTGATTTCTTTGTGCTTAATAACCTGTGAGGCCCTTTGCTTCCATGAATTTGTCTAGTTGCTGTACTAATTAGTCAATAGTCTTGGTAGTTGTAACAACCTTTCCAAATCTTGAGATGGATTATTACCCAGTAAAATACCCAGTAAAATGCCTAGTCCTGCTAAATTTATTGGGAATTTTTTAATGAACAAGACTGTGCGGATTCATCTAAAGAAGAGATCTCAAAAAACAAATGTGAGAGTATCTGTGGAGAAGGGGTACCTAGAAGCAGATCTCCCTAAGAGAGTAACTTTATCCAAATTTGTCATTGTAATGATCCATTTTTGTATATAGAAAGAGAGGTTAGCTGTGAAGACGTAGATATCCAAGTGTCCTTATTCCTACATAGTTATTAAAATGGAGCCATAACAAGAAATAAATAAGGAAATGACAGCATTCAACAATCTAAGGAGCATAAGGTATGAAGTCTGATCCAAAGGAGTGTTATGCAGAACTCTAATCTGAGGGTTACAATTAAGAATTTTCCACACATAACTATGCCAACATGACAAATCTAGAGGATCTTGCTTTACTGTCAGAATTAAGCATAAATCTTGTATGACCACTTTATAAGTGGGTTTTTAATTCAGGTGTTAATATTTTTATTTTTCCATACCTATTGCTGTATAATAAATTCCACAAATTCTATAAGAGGAGATCAAAGGAAAAATATTTTCTTCCTTGATAATTACAGGCTAGATTCACAGCCTGTACTGTTCTGGCAAGACAAAGTAGTAAGTTCTGAAGAAAATTTCTGGTTTTCACTCTATAATATTTCTGATATCTCAGACATCAGTGAGCAGTAAGTGTTGATCTTTTTAGGAGTGCTTGCTAGAAAATACTTGGAAAATTATAGAATCATATTACTATTTGATATTGGTCTTGTTTTATGTATATATGTATGTATGTATTGTATTACATTTAAAAGTGATGAAGAATTATTAAGTTATTTAAGCATTTCTGTTTGTGTGATCCCTAATTTGGTACATCAAAACGCTAGCAAAATTTGGATCATTATTTACTTTGAAATGCAAGTCATTCCTGACAAGGGATTATAAAGAATAAGCCATCTGTGGTGAGCAAAGCTAGTGCCACCAAGTTCAGTGACATGCCACCTAAAGCAGGTATGTGTGGCTGTAACAGGGGTCCAAGGGACCTGAGACAGCTATTTCCTTAGTCATTTTTTGTTTGCAAATCACTGACTACAGGGGCTGCAAGGGACCTCTGGAGGCTTTCAGATCTGTCCTCCTGTCTGAAGCAGGAGCAAACATACCTGTGCCATTCCTGGCAGATCTCGCTCTTCATGAGCTGTCTCCAAGCCAGTTAAGAAAATACACAGGAAAGCAAACTTTACAGCATGCTGCAGTGGTACATCTCCAATAGCACTATGATTGTGGTTACAAGCAACATACAAACACAAATAAGCTCATTAGTCAATAAAATTACCAAAAGTTTAAAAATTATTGAAAACTTCCTTGTTTAGAATGAGTTTCAGTAACTTTCAGTAACTGGTGTATGTAATTATTCTCAGATTTCTCAAATCCAGTTTCTTCCTCTTCATCCTTTTACCATGCCGGGAACTCAATCTGAGCATCTGTACAAAAGATAGATAATATCAATCAATAAACTCCTGTAAGGATAACTTTATCTTGGATGTATGTCCTGCAGTGGTCTGCTTGTTTCAGGTAAAGCTTTTTTGGAAATGAGGCATTTATGAAGTGTCTATAATGTTATGGCTCATGTTACAGCTTTTGCTTTGGTGGTTTATTTTTGAATGGGAGATTCATTTACAGGATTTCTGTTATTTACATGGTAATTTGTTGGTCTGATTTGTTTAATGTTAGTTAATGTGTTAAGAATACTTCTCAAAAGAGAACAGAAGATGTGTAGAAAACAGTTCATCATTTATTCCTCCCTTTTTTTAGAAAATGGAGATTAAAATGCAAATAATCTCTTTACACTCTACCTGTTTTAATTAAAATGTTCTATTTTACACTTTCTATAATCAGCCATGTATAATATTATATAATTCTATTAAGCAATTCCACTGCTGGTATATTGTTCCAATGTTAATGCCACAGTCAGCTCCTCACAGTCATTATGTAAATTCAAAATAGTTTCAAACAAAATCTCCAGTTATAGATTCAGTTGCCTTTAACAGTGTGTAGGTGTGGTAGATAAAAGATTAATTTGTCTCTATTCGGTGGCCAAGCGACAAATACCTTTGCAGGCACTGAGAAAGAGTGATACTGCCTGGCAGTGCAAGAAATGGAAATAAAGTCAAGTCCACCCTTTCAGCCAGATTCTACACTGCCACTGAGACCATAGCAGGACAGAAGGTCTTTATCCTCCTTTAAAGGTAATTATAACTCACTGGGTATTATAATCAGGAAAATAAGAGTAAAGATTTGGGAAGGATGGTTAAAGTAATTTGAAGGTGCTAATCTGGGAAACATTCTGTAGTTCAGTCACTGATTAATTAAATTGGTATGCCATTTGGAAGTCTTCTTTAAATATTCTTTTCTGTATCATACTTGTATAAGGTATTTGTGAGAAATTAAACTTACTTGCTTCAACTACATCTGCTTCTTGAAGTGACTAGAACATGTATAGTCGTTTTTCAATTTCTAACTCCTCAAGATTGTTAAACTGCAAATTTGCTGTTACCTTTACATATAATCATCAAAATGTGGTTAGCAAGCAGAAGGAATTAATAAAACCTAGAGCAAGAAAGCAATAGCTAGGAAAATCAAGGCATCAGAAGAATGATTGGCTGATAAAAACAGGTACATTTTAGAATTTATTAAAAATGGCCTTTTTGACTGTATTATATAATATTCACTAAAAATAATGCTTAGATGAATCATTAGAATTGGAAGGGTAAGGAGAACAAGGTCTCATAAATCACTCTTCCTTTACGTGTCAATCACTGTTTGCCTCTCAGACATTACATAATCCATCTAAACAAGCCAGCTTTGTAAATTATTTGGCCATATTTAATAAGTTTCAGTGCAGGCCCTACTTGGAATTCTCAGTTTAAAAAATGTTGTACCACAGGGCCTGTAAGTGGGTGTTAATACCTAGGTTGAAATTGTCTGCCACTAAGTAAAGTAGTCCTTTAAAATCAGCGAAGATGCTCTTCTTCAGACAAGCTGTAGTTGAGTATCTGGCATCCCTCCCTCATGTAGTCCCGTTGTCCTGGGCTTAATGCCCTCTTGCAGCTGCTCTCCTTTGCTGGGGTTGTCATTTCATTTATTCATCTTTGATAACAGTTTCTACAACAGCCATGAGCTATTCTGACTGCTCAGTGATGTTATTTAATCCTCCCCATTTAGCATCAAGAAAAAAAGTCTGTTGCAAAGAAAACTCCTACTGTATTGATGCAAACTTACTGCACTGATAGCAAGCAGCAACTCTTATTCTTATGTGGGTGCTTCTGCACACCCAAAAGTGTCAGGTTCGAGACTTTTCCTTCTTCTGACATAAAAGCCTTCACATCTTTCACTTGAAGCCCACACAGTAGGCTACATTTCTCAGTCGTGCTTTTCCAGTTGGCCCAACCAACCAGACCTCACCAGTTTTGTAGTCACCCAAATTGTGGCTGTACCAAACTTAAGGAAGAATGCAAGCTGGATTGGAACTCCATGACTTGTGCACTTAAAGCAAAAAATTTAGATAAAGGAAGGGCAACTTTACTCAGGAGCCAGCAGTGCTTGCAGAGCTCTTCCATTGTTTTGCAGTACTGCCAGATGCAAAGTCACATAGGAGTGTTTATTGGAATTTCTTCAGAATGAGGTATATGTAATGGTCCTGTACCAGGCTGTACTGTGAAATAAGTATGTGCTTTTAAGACTGGCTTTCTTGTGTTTTTTTAGGGCTCTGCTGTGCTTGATGCTTTCTCAAAGCCTACAACATACTACTTCATTCTCTTCCAGCACTTGAACCTGCAGTTAGGATGAAGAATGTCTGTGACATCCTTTTGCTTTATTGCTTGCCACAGCCTCATTACCCTAAGTGCCATTAGTAACACACCCTGATGGTTTTCTTTTTGGTCTAGTGAGGTGAGAAGAAAAGTAGCAAAGCTGTTGCAGTGCACATAACTTAATTGTTGAAAGCATTTTCCAGTGTTGTAAGCCTCTTTTCTGCTTTCTGGGAAATTCCATAATTTTTTGAAGTGTGAGTTGACACCTCTCAATGAATCAATGGGATTTTTGCCCATAACTTTTGTACTGCGCTGGTCCTTATTTCTGTTGTCTGTTAATTCATTTTTCCACAACTCATTCAGAACTCCTCCTTTGGATTTCACAAGAATATTTTCTTTCACGTTAATTTTAATCACAGTAGCAAATTCTTGTCCTAACAGGCCTTGTTCTTTTCCAGTGCTTATTTTTCATAACCTTTGGTGTTCTGCAGAGATAATTTTCAGAGTTAATTTTGATGTTTCTAAATGCGCTGTGTCTTCAGTTTCTCCTGTCACATTATTTAATTGTACCACAATAATGGTTTGAAAATTGTCACGTTTTCAGCAGGTTTTCCTGACTCGCTTTATTAAATGAAAGAATTAGAGTTTTTTGAATTCTTTCACTCGTGCAGTTTGCAGAGTGCAAAAATCTCTCCCCCTGTAGAGATTTTGCCCGCAGCCTGCGGTGGCGCTGGACCTCCTGCTGTTGGTGGCGTTTGTGCGCAGAGCGTTCGCATCCCCTGTTTGCCACAGATCACGGTCAGGGCTGGGGATTCCAGGTCAACCTAATTCTTCTTGATTTATTTAAGAACATCTATGTGTAAGGGTGCTGTGTTCCCAAGGGGTAATGTGAGGTTAGTTGATTAGGACACATTGTGAGATAAAATTCTGCTTCAGAGTTTTCATCCATATCATCACCCCTAGAGTGATACAAGAGTATGTACTGTTTATTTACTGGTTGATTTATTTATGGATTGAGAGATTTCATGCAGACTCTCTGGAAGTCACTAAGGTATCAAAAGATTCAGGCTTTCAGTACATGCCAAATGTAGAACTTCATTTAAAATCTGCTGAGATTAGCAGATCTTTCCACTAACTTCATCGTCTTTTGCATCCAATTCCAAATTTGTTTCATGTAAGCATGCTGCACACAAAATAGAACTGTCAGAAACCAACATTTGTTTCAAAATGGGAAGACAATCATGTGAATAATGAAATTTTGAATCTTGATATTTTGATATAGGAAGCACTTTTTCCCTTCTGTTATATCAGTTTAATATTGATGTTTCCCCTAAATTCTGTATTTTACCACGGGTCGGACCCCTCTGGTTTTACTAGCCAACCATTTTTTGTTTGTTTGTTTGGGTGTTATTGTTAAACCAATAGGTGGCACTGGTTAAGCATATTAGCATTCAAGATGCAGGGTATTTTATAAAATGACACTGTGAAATCTGGCCATTTTAATTTAAAAAACATAATTTTTAAAAATACACATTGCATATGTTCAGTTAATGTATATGTGTTTTTTTTATTTGTCATCTTACTGAATTGACAACATGGAACATTTCAGAGAAAACTATGCCTCAGTTCAAATCAGGTATTGTTTGATTTGGGGCTAAAAAAGAAGAGGTAATTGCTGCAACTAGAAGTTTTAGACATTTTGAATCCTACCTAGTTAGGTCTTTTGTTTTGAAAGTGTGTTTGAGTGTTCTGGTATAGATCACAAATTTGTAATCACATCCTGTCATTTCTTCCCGCTTGAGAGACACATTTCAGAATTACTTACCATCTTAATGTTATTTTTCATTATTTCTTCTGACTTTCATGACAAGCAGACATTTCTTTGGGCTGAAATGCTTAGTCCAGTCTTGTATTTTTGTTTTTTTTAAACTGAGAAGGTTGAGTCATGCAGACTTAGTGCACATCTCCTGAGAGAGCTCTGACCATCAGGTGGAGTGAGGACACGCAGCTGTGTTACATCACAGTAATGTTACCATGTTTTGCTAATCCGGATTTATGTGGATGGTTAGTTAGTTGTGGGGTTTAGTCAATGAATGGTCTTCAGTCCAGTTTCTTATTTGCCTTCCAGAGAGCCAGTAGAGACCTAAAGTTTGGCATTGTTTGGGGGAGGGACACTGAGAGAATTGAATCAGACCAATATGTTCCCATTCCTGGTCTACCTAATCTTGGGAAGCTTTGGATGCCTATTCTAATGCTCTCTATTCACAGAAACTCCAAGGGGAAAAAATGACAACAGTGTCTATGGAGTTCATTTTCTAGGAAGGCAAGAATAGTAGGGAGCTCAAATCTTTTTTCCCCTTTCTTACCTGCTACATGATTCAAACTCACTGCTTGCAAAATGCTCTGAGATGAGAAGCACTATAGAAATGAAGATTACTTATTATTATGGTATTATTTTCAGAGACAGGTTTTCCATACTATTTAGGGGCATGTTACCTCCTAGTATTTGAAGTTTGTAGTAGCACTGGTAATACATAATGCTGTTGTGCATTATCAGTGAAAAGGGCAGTTTAAAAGGAAAAATACAGTTGAACAGTCATATGAGTCAAGAACATACTAGCATTAAGAGGCTTGGCAGCCACTTCTTACTTGGCACTGCTGCTAAGTAATTTTTAACCTTAGGTAATTAAAGTGCAGAAATTCTCACTGCAGTTAACAGACAACGGTTATAAAATACCCATATTTTTTTAATATTACAATGAATTTTAAAAAATCCTACAGTAGGAACATCTTCTACCCTTCTATCTAATCTAAACATTTAGAAAACTTAGAGAAAGCAAACAGCTGGGTATCTTAGTGGACATGCATTCAGGACTAGATCAGAAGTTCAGTGCTCATCCAGGGCTTCCATAGTTGCACAAGATACTCCAGCATTATGTGGTAATAAATGTAAGTGTGAATTGGTCAGGAGACTATGGCAGCAGAGCAGTGAGAAAAACATGAGGTGAAAACCTCCAGCAAGTGTCTGTCCTGACCCATGGAAAAGCACAAGATCACCAAGAATGGAGGAGATGATACAGAAATTGTTTCTTCCATATGAACTGAAAGGAGCTGCTCTTTCTCGGGTGATTGCCTGGAGATGACACCTGTAGACAGCTCTGTGACCCCATATGACATTCGTTTCTGTGGTGCCTTGAACAGCTGCATGAGCAGCTTTTTTCTTTTTATTTTTTTTCTTTTTTTCTGCCTGGGCTCTTCCAGGTTCAGCTGCCTGCCTCAACTTGTTATGTCAGTCAGCAGTTTTCCTGCTGGCTCTCTCAAGCTGGGTATTGCAGTGTTCCTCTGTCAGTCAGCGTGGCAGGGCAAACACCCTCCCTGCTTAGGATTGTCCTTTGCTTGAGGACCTTAGCTTGCACCATGCATGGGTACTCACAGGTTATTTTTCCATTAAGAGATTGTCAACTTGAATGTGCTGCTCCTTTGAATGTGATCAGTGGGGTTCAGTGTCCCCACATTGGCACCGCCTTTGCAACAGGAGAATGGGGCTGAGCAATCTCCTTGTTCTGCTGCATCAAGCCTTGACTGAGTAGAGTCAATGTGTGACTGCAACCCACATACATGAAAACAGCCATTCACATCACTGCTGAACTCAAACCAGTACAGCACCAGCAAGAAGATAAACTATTTGATCTTAGGACAGAATAACTTGTGCTTGGAAATGGGCAATTTCCATCAGGCCCATGTTAACTCTTTCCCTTCACTTGCATATACATTTTGAAATTTTCTTCAACAGCGCTGTGTTCCATGACTTATTTTATCCCAGAGATGAATGTTTGGCAACTGTTTGTAAATACACATCATCAGTTTACTAACACAAGACTGAAAAATTTACTTGTTCTATTAAAATAAAATAAGTGACTTTAATAGCAGAACAGCTTGTGTTTGAAGGTCAGACTTTGGCATGGGAATAGTTCACGCTGAGAAGCAGCACCTTGGCGTACTCTAATGAAAACTGGCAGTGATTTGACTGAGCTACAAGGCTGCAGAAATCAGACTGCACACAAACAGTTGTGTTTATCGGACAGGAGAAAGGATGTAGATGGATATGTGACTAATTCAGTTCAATCCTCAGGATTACCCGGGGGAGCACAAGAGAAGGAGGGTGCGCTGGCATTCTCCATCAGTTCAAAGTGTAGGGGTGGGCAGGACAGTGGGGTTATGGAATGGCTTAGGGGGCAGCCACCTGCAAGAGATGGCTCTTGTATGGCAGATGTGCACTCAGCAAATCACTGCCTTGTGGATTTGGGTTTGTTTAAATACTGGAGAGAAGTTTAGGGTTGGAGGGGGGGTTTTCTCTTACGTTTTTTCAGTTTCATTCCAATGGTTTATTCTGAACTATTATTTGTATTTCCGAGTATCAGAATTAACATTAAGAGGTATAGAACGCTCATCTCACAACTACCATCTCATTTTCACTGCTAGAGGAATTTAATTTAGCTAATCTGTTCATCTGCAGAAGCAGCCTGGAAGGTGGAATTTGCTTGTGTGACGTTAGGAACTGCCAGCTTCACAGATTTGCTGTTGCTTTAAATCAAGTTTAGATTATATTTAATTAAACTAGCTTATCTACCATCCATACTAATTACCAGAGTTAATCTTAACTATATACACTTCTGTTTCCTTAAAGCTTCAAAGCTGATTTCAAATACAGGAATTCTTAAAATTAGTTAATAGAAGCACCAGACTCAAATTCCAATTAGATAACCACACTCCATTAGATATGGAGGTAGGAATAAAAATACAGAATGGGTATGCCAAGTGTCTTATCCAGAGCACAGTTCTAGTTGAAGGAATGTTTTTTCTATTTCATTTTTAAGATATTACAAAGTAGCACTACTCCTGTAGTGTGTTGTTTCATTTTCTGAACAAGACTCTGCACGTTAAGCTGCAGGGAACAGCCCCATGTTCTAAAACTAGAACCAGCGGGGTTCTGCAGTATAAATCCTGTGGGCATAAACAAAAAGTAGGAGAACATGGTTTTATCTGTTGTAAACCTCAGGCAAAATATTTTCCATTTATCATTTAATTATGTTCATTCTTAAATTCTGCTTTTTTCCAGTACTACTTGTTGTTGTTGTTCCTACAACTTTGCCTATTTTATACCCCTAGTAAGACCATTCTGTTTGTTGTCACATTTAATTAATGGCAAACAATAACTGTAGATTGTTGCTTCCTTAATAACCAAGCTGTAGTCATGATTGATTTTCATTTTAAAATGCAGGAATCATTTTGGTTTATCTCCATAACTGAGTAATAAGTTGGTTTTCAACAGCGTTTATTCTGCTTGGTCATGAAGATATGATGCTCTGTGTTTTCATAAACTTGCATGCCAAAATTAACCTGTGTTAAGGCAAAAAAATTGAATACATATTCTTCTACCACTGACTGATCTGAGGGTCTCAGTTATTGAGAAGGTAAAAAAAAATGAAGTATATCAAATAAAGCAAACTACACTTTTAGCTTTTATCACAAGGTACAGCTACTTCATTGCTTTGGAGTCAAAATAATATTGCTGTGTTGGCATCGTGCAATCCTCTGACTAATTAGCCTTGTTAGCTGTGTACTACATTCTGCAAGGAAAGGATGACTTAGACACTAAAGTATGACAGAAAATTAATGACTGTGGATCCTAAAGAGGGAGCAATTCATCCATCCCTCTTATGTACTAACACAGGCAGTTCTAAGCTGAGAGTGCTGTTTTTTCACTCCATTCCTAAATATTTGTAGGTTGTGTCTGTATTCAGCCAGATCTGCCAGTGAAGTGAATCTCTTGATCATCACTATCTAATACACTTTGACTCACATCATAGGGGGGTCTTGGTGTGCAGGGATTCCTTTTTGATAAAAAACAGGAAGATAATTCCAGGTTCTCACCAAATGCATTCCAAATGTTTGTGAGGGTTGAGCTCAATATAAAGTAAAATGCCTTGAAAAACATATGGCCTGGACATTGGGTCGCTGGCACCAGCTACTTTACTCTACAGCTTTGCTTCCACTAGCCCAGACAGGAGCCAAAGTCTTCTCAGGCAGTGTACAGGCAGCCTGGGTAACTAAGCCAATCCTGCAAGTTCCCCTGAGGATCGCTGCAGGTTGCAAGGGGTACTCGGGTCAGGTCATGGGCTAACCTCTCTCATGGCATGGTTGTGCTCTCTGGCATGAAGAGCTTGGCTCCATCATCTTTGTAAATGCCTTAGAAGTAACTGTAGGTTGGATGGGCTCCCTCTTATACTCTTCACTGGACTAAACATGCCCAGATCCCTCTATCCCTCTGTGTAGGCCACGTGCTTTTGGCCTCTGTCTCAGAAGTCTCTCCAGTTTCCTCCCCATCCTCCTGATTAGGGGTGCCCAGAGCTGGGCACAGCATTCCTGGTGCAGCCAGGGAGTGTCAGGGAGAGGAGTGTAATGACTGCCCCAGAGAAACTGAGGCTACAGTCATCCAAATGTAGCCCAGAGCAGGGTCTCTTGTTACCAATGTTCAGATTGGATATATAAGAGCTCTGCAATTTAGATTTAGGATCTCACCGTGCGTGGCATGTGGACAGTCAAATGGAAAGCTTGTGATGTATCAAGCACTTTAATGCTTCTTGGACCACTGTCAAAACAAATAAGCATAGTATATTTTAAAACATTAAAGCATAAATGCATTGTATTACATTATTTCACTTAGAGGGGATGTTTTCTGAAAGCATCTCTGATTTTTTTCCTCATCAAAAGTTTATGAAGTAAGAACTGCGGTAATTCAGATAAATTGAATTAAACCTGACTGTAGTTCTGAGCCTTTTGGTATAGACTTTTTTATCTTGATGAAGATTTCAGGAGAAATAATTCTCTGGATGTTTCTGGATAGCTTTCTGTTCATAGGTGGTAATTATACCACACATTTGTGTAATATTTCAAAGATACACTTAAATAGTGAGAAGGCCATTATTTGTTTGGTGTAATAAATTAAATTGCAAGTTTCATACTTTCCTAGATTTTTTAGATAAAAACATTATAAGTCTGTGACCATGATTCTATGAACAGACATCTGACTCAGGTATATCAGCTGTGGCTCTGATTGTGGCTCTAAAGCATTGTTAGATTTCCATATATGTCTCTTGTTTGCAACAGTATGGGAAACGTCAAATCGGTTGTAATCTATTGTTTTGTTCCAGGGCAGTTACACAAATAATGTGTTACCTGCAGTAGATGTTCTCCATCATTTATAAGTTAACACTTCATTTTTCATCACATGGCACTCAGAGCTAGGGTTTTACAACAGTTTTGTTCTATTTTTGGAAATAACTTAGCATCTCTGTGTGGTCTCAACTCAGTTACAATGTAGCAAAATCCATCACATATCATAGTCTTGTGAAAGACAATAAAATTTATTACTGCTAGCCAAATTTACTTCATATTTGATTGTAAGTTATATGTTTTATATAAATGTGTTGAGATTAACTTGGACATACTGAACTTAATAATTTTGGTGTCATTGCCATTGACAATTCATTATCAAACCATGTCATTTTGCATGGTAAAAATTACATTATATCAGAACTGGGTCTTTAGTATTATAGGAGGAATCACCTGGGCAAAAGATAAATAATGCTATTAATGATAAATAATGGTTTTAAGATACTGTTAGATTAAAGATGGTGAAGAAAGTTATGCATTTGAGACAATGTTTTTAGTTCATGTTATTGATTTGTTTCTGAGTATTGAGATCTCTTTCATCTTTGGTATATCTCTTTTTTCCATGGTGTTTCTTATTTGTAAAATTCAGCTTTTTGGAAACTAAATAGAAGTCAAAACAATAAAGAAATTCTGACTGCTGAATTACAAACTGAATTCAGCTCCACTGAATTTTAATATGCTGCAACATTAAAATGTGTATGAAGCCTAATTTTGACACATACAAACACATTTATTTGATTTTACATATATTTGCACGTGCTAATACTTCCATGTGTTTGTACAACATACAGTTTGGGGATTAGATTCCAGCACTTGATTTTCATTAGCACTCTGCATGGGTTATGGATTCGTTTTTAAGTGAAAAATCTGTATCCCTTACTAAAAGAAGAGTTTATATAAATATTGTTAATAGCATGTTTTTCCACAATACAGATACAATAGCAGAAAGGAGAGCCCTAAGAGAACATGTGTATCCTAAGCTGAGAGAATTCTGCAGAGAAAACTATGGCCTGGAATTTCAGGTAGGTTTTGTTGTCTTAATCCTGTATTACTTTATCTTGAAATTAACTCTGTTTAGAACAGATAACATTTTTAAAATATCATTGTTGAAATGGAAAATTACAAAAACTTTGTTTCACAGAATCACACACAAAATGGTTGAGGTTGGAAGGGACCACTGAAGGTCATCTAGTCCATTCCCCCTGCTAAAGCAGGTTCACCTGGAGCAAGTTGTTTTGAGTATCTCCAGAGAAGAGGACTCCACACCCTCTCTGGCCAGTGTGTCCCAGTGCACTGTCACCCTCACAGTAAAGAAGTTCTTCCTCATATTTAGGTGGAACTTGCTGTGCACCAGTTTCTGCCCATTGCCTTTTGTCCTATTGCTTGGCACTGCCAAGAAGAGCCTGGTTACTTCCTCTTGACACACACCTTTAAGTTATTTGTGTGCTTGGATAAAATCCCCTCATTTATATCTTCTCCAGGCTAAACAGGCCTAGCTCTGTCAGCCTTTGATGTACTTAAATTATTTTACAAGCAGATTTGAGGTAAATTCTGGATAGATGAAAAAGCACCACCTCTGTTTTAATCAGAGTATATAAGAAGAAATAATGTTACATCTGAATTACTGTGCTATGTTTCTAGAAAACATATTTAAGTTCCACTGCAATGTGGGAAATAATCTAACCAGGTGAATGCCAAAACTGATTACCAAAATGAATTGAAAATGGTGCATTTTTTTTGTGATTATATACTTTGGAATTTGCTTTCTTTAATGTCAACTGTAGCATTCCTATTGCTTCAGTAAGTATATGTTTTCCTCTCTTTCTATAAGAGACATAGACTCATATACATCTTTGGCAAGAGCCAGTTGGTAATAGAGTTGTATTTTATTTAAAACAGTTGTGTTTGGCATCACTGTTAAAGTCACCGGTACTTTAAATCATGTGTGTCCTCATTCACAGTCTTTTATATGTCAGCAGGCCTGGAACCATTTCTCTGCTAAGAGAAACAAATACAGCTTGTGATGTTGTAAAAATGTTCAGTTTTCCAAAAATTCTGGCTCTGCATCCACAAGTTTTCCTTGCATACTTAGTGACCCCAAAAATTCATCTCTCCAGAGTGTAGCTTGGAAACCAGAGTGTAGCTTGGAAACAGCTAATGCCTTTTATGCAACATCCTGTTCCTCCCAGTGTATTATTCTTGATGCACATGCAGCTGGTTTTTAATCAAAATAACAAGTTCTTAAATTAGGATATTTGGTTTTAATTCCCTTAGTCACAGTGGAATTGCTGAATCTGCATGGTGGTAAATTCCAGTGATTTTTGATTATGGCTATAAAAGAATTTCATCTGAAGGTCCTAGCTCATCAGCTGATTGGGAAGTCCCAGCTGCAGCAGTACATGAAAAGAATAGCAAAAGATATTTAAATAATATTTTTCTTGTATTAATACCATGTGATATTCATCAAAAAATATCAACCCCTTTTTTCTGTTATCTTTGAGGAGACTTCTTGGTGAAGGAAATGTCTCTTCCAAGTAAATCATAATCCATTTAACTCTTTGTGAGAGGACACATATCTTTCTTCAGACAGATTGTAATGTAGTCTCTAGGGGAGGAACAATTAACTTTAGTTCATATTCATGGAGGCAAATTATTTTATTACATAGTTTCAACACCAGCATCTTTATGTGATATGAGGTCTGAAAGACAGCTCTACTGGCACAGTTCAGAAAACTGCCAGAAAGCTATAACATTTCTGGGTAAGCAAAGTAGGAAGATGTACAAAAATAACCAAGGAAAAGTACCAAAGCCTTTTGAAAGAGACTCTGAGGTAGACTTTAGTAAGACCTTTTTTTTTTTTTCTTATTCCAATCCTGATACACTAAATTTCTGCAAAATAAAGACTACAGTTATTAGTGCAGTGTTAAAGTATTACATAATTTTCAGATACAGTGGTAAATTTATATTTCTCTGTACAGAGCAGAGCACATAACTTTTCATCCTGGTATGTAATCTTACTACTCACCAAACAATGAGCATGTTGCTACCACAAATGCACTATTCAGGACACCCTTTACCTAATAAATCATGACCCAAATGAAAAGCATTTGAGTGCATGCATTACTGCAAGCTTCACTGAGTCACCTCACTGCACTCAAAACTGTTTCAGGTGTTGCAAAGCATGAGATCTGTGAGGTGTCATCCAGCTGGTGGGAGCTGTTACTGAGCACAATCACCATATGAGTGGAAGCAGAACTGACTATCTTCAATTACACTATGAATTTGTTAGCTTGATGGTCTTTTTTTTTCATTGTATCAGAAACTATGTCAGAAAAAGAAGCACTTATTGGCTAAGAAAGCAAGTAAGTTGAGTAAAAGTAAAAAGAGCTCATGGTGGTTTTGACCTGAAATACAGTATCTGAAATACAAAGAGGATGGAGAAGTTAAAGGAAGTAGCTGTAATTGAAAATTTGGGGGGGGCTAACCAAACATAGCTAATTAGCAACATACACTTCTTCAAAACAATTAACTGTTTCAAATAATTTTCAAGAGGATACATATGCTAGAAGGAAAGTAGTATTTTACATGAATGGAATTTTTAGTTCCTTTTTTAAGCTCTTGAAAGTGATAAAAAAAAAATGTCTCCAAAGCAAAATCTGTGAAACTGTAGGACAAAAGCTAAAGTAAGCAAAAGGAAACACTGAATAATGAATGAAAAGTTAGGTGTCTAGTGTGGGATTGAACTAGAGCAGTGTCAGTCCACTGTGGGTAAGGAATTCTTGCAGAGGGCACAAGTTGTCATATGACCTTGGCAGCCTTGCTGAAAGTTTGAGTGAGTGTTTGTCACACAATTTTTCCAAGTAGAAGTAAACACATGCTTCAATATCAGATATAATTGTGCCTTTGTTCCATATCTTTTATTTTGTGAATCCTATTTATTTTAGTTAGCATAATGATCAACTGATGAGACCTTACTTTGAAATTTTTGGTGTCTTCAGGGGTTTGTTCGGTAAAATATTTACTTTTGCAGGACGAAATTGTATCATGTTAAGATACCATGCACCAAAACACCAAAACTATTTTATGTTACCCCATAAAATAACAAACAGCCACAGAGCCCCTGCAATTATCTGGTACTCCAGGGAGTTTCTTCTTCTCATTTTCAGAATTAATGTGATTTCTGAACAGTTAATTAAAATAGAAATTGCTTTCACATTTCAGAAGAACCTCAGCAGCACAATAAATTCATTCAACAAGTAATTAAAACATTTTTTACTGTATGCTAAGATTGGTATCTGAAGGATTTTATAATGAGAATATTTAAGTTTTATCATACATCATGCAAGTAATCAGGCAGATGAATACAAAGTGAAGTTCGATAATAAAGTTGTATTAATAAATAACAGAAAGTAGAGA